TTAAGAAAAAAAAAAAAAAAGAACGAACCGGACCGGACCGGGACGGAACCGGGACTAACCGGACCGGGACGGACCGGTAAATCCCGGTTTCCGTCCCGTTACCCTTCCCGGACCGGAACAATTCCGGATCTAACCGGTACTATCCGGAACCGAGACGGAACCGGTAACGGACCGGAACGGACCGGAACCGGTACCAATACCTCCCGGTTCCGTTGCCAGTCATATTTTGAAGTAATCTTTTTTTTCTCAGAAGAAAAATTAAAAATAAAGGGCCCGTTTGGCCATGCGATATGGTATCATGATATGAAATCATGATATAGTATTATGATATGGAATCATGAGATGAAATTGAAGTTTTGTTTGGATATATGATATGGAATTTTTGTGTTGTATATTTTCTCATAAACATAAAAATCTCATAAGTTGTAAAACTATTAAAATAGCCCCAATTGTTATTCAATCTTACCAAATAAATAAAAAAAATTTTTATAAAAAATTCCAACATAATAAATTATTACAAAGCTATTGTTCTCCACTTAAGTAATTGTTTCATCTAACTTTAATTTGATAAAAAAAAATTGAACATAAATTGTAGTGTATTAGTCTTTAATATAATCCTTCCACATAGTACGGACAATTTCCTCACGTCACTACAAGAAAACTAGCTATCAGCGAAGAGAAATCTGGTCCCTAAAAGTCAATAGCGACCAAAAAATTTGGTCGCTTCCCGTCCCTACAGGTCTCTTCGCTAAAAGTCAATAGCGACGCGTTATTGTTACTGGTCCCTAAAAGTCTTTGGGGACCAGGTTTAGTCTGGTCGCTAAGACATCTTTAGGGACCATATATCTGGTCCTTAAGTTGTTGTTTTGTACCACTTTCTATGGTATTTACAGACTTATAGCGTCCACATTCTTTGGTCCTAAAAGACATATTAGGACAAGGCATCTGGTCAGTACAAGTTTTATATTGTAGAATATTACTGTTTATAATATAAAATTTCAATTGCATAAAGACAATAGATCAATCATGGCATGCCTTCATATATATATAAGCAGTTACAAAAATCAGATTAACATCCCATCAGTAGCAATGTAGCATTCTACAACCCAATAGTAGTCATTACATTCAATATACGAAATTTGAAAAGTTGTCAAATTGTCTCGGCATAATGATAATCTCATCTTTGCTTTTGGTCGGAGACTTGTAAATTCATCAAATCATCTAAACCCTGTCAAAGACATAATAAATAATGTTTATAACTACTAAAAATTCCACTAGAGAACTGAAATTAAACATAGTTTAGACCATCTAATAGATCTAAATTTCAACTTGCCAATTTAAACGTTGCACTCAATTCTAAAGCAATGTTATAAGAAATACATAATCTTTCATCTATAGATGAACATGTAGCTGCAAATTTATGGACAAAATATCAATGATAAAAGTAGAGTATATACTTTCTAATATGTTAAGTCATACAAAAAACTTACGTAGAACAAGTAGTAAGATTGTAACATCTACCAAGTCTAGGAATAGATAACATGACTACATGTTTTTAGAATTAAATAGACATTATATGTATGAAGATTTTTTTAAATTAATGATTGATTGTTGTGTTAGTAGATAATGCACTTCACAAACATGGTATGTGATTGAAAGTCCAAATGTTGCTACAATCAACGTAACTATAATAGAAAGAGAAGGGCTGGCACAACTTGATATTGCTTCCTCGAATTTCATCCAAGTCCACTTTGACTTTAAGGGAAAAGAAAAAGATTTTCTAGATAAGAAAATAAACCTAAAGGCTCAATTTAGGGGAAAAGCAGATCTCGAACTTTTGGAGGTTTTCATACATTCCCTCATGAAGCTTAGCCTCATTGTACCAAAATTCATAGGTTCTTTAATGATTTCATAGTAATCTTCCACCATAATAGAAACAGAAGATGTAATTTATTAAGAATACCTGGCCTTCAAAAACCAAAGCCAATCATAAGACCAATAGAACCTCAGCGCGATCAACTGGTTCTGCAAATATTTAATGGGTATTCATCCCTCCTAACATCAAAAAACAGACCAACAAAGTAGTAAGATGTTAAATGTATTTCTTTTTGTACACGTAATGTGATAAATATCAAACTTAATCTAATATGAGGATGACTGCAACCATTGCAGAATGTCAAGAATAAGTTCTAGAATACTTCTTTTTGGCAACTTTGTTGGTTTACCTGATAGAATCCAAAGTATGAATTAAAACTTTGAAGTTGATGCTTCTAAATAAATAAAAGACAACAAGAAAGATCATTAAGTTCTCTAAGGTACAATATTATTCATCGATATTTTTTTCCTATCGAGAACACATTAGGCAGTTTTGTCCCC